TTCCCTGAAATACTTCATTTTTTAAATTAAAGACTCTTTAATTTACATTTCTCAAATAATTTGTAAATGAGATACACTAAAAATTACTGTCAACCTATAATGGAATATGAATATACTTATTTTTAGGATAGGCTTTATTTTTCTAATTTACAGAATATGGATGTTATATTTGAATGCATTTGCCTGAATTCTATGTTAAAATAATTATTAACAGAAAAAATGATGACAAGATAGGTGTTACAGGAAAAATTACATTTTAAAGTGGATTTCATGGCTGGGGATGTAACTCAATTGTAAAGCATTTGATTAGTATGTTCAAGGTTGTGAGTTTGGTCTCAATGCCACAAAAAACAAAGAAGCAAACAATAACACACACACACACACACACACACACACACACAAAACCCTTGGGTTTCTAATTGCAGCTTTTCTGCTAAGTAGCTACAGTTAATTTGTCTGGATTTGATTTCTGTCTGAAAAATTGAGAAGCTTGAACCAAATGAATTCTAAAAAGTTTTATCTTGAGTGAAAGTTTCGCTATTTATTTGAAAGATAAAAGACTATTATACTTATTGCATTGTCAAGAATCTCAAATAGAGGCGGACAGAACCAAGTATGTGAGGGAGAGCGTGAGCAGCTTATGTATCCAAATTCACTACAGTGCATGATACAGGGTGGAGTTTTGAGAGCTCCTAAAGGCCTTATAGGAAAGTCATAAAGATGAGATAATAAAATAGAAACTGAAGCCTATGGTCGATAAGTAAATATATAAAGTAATAAAGGAACTGATATTGTTTGTTCAAGGGAACTAGGAGAAATAGCCTAAGAACAGTTGTAAACATTTTCCACTTATGTAACAAATATTTATAGCTAACTGTGGGCCAGCCACTGTTCGTATGAAAGAGTGAGGATGAGATAGATGAGTTGAGGTTGGATTAAGCTATAGCTAATTCTCCTTTTTTATTAGTACATGTTAAATGTACAAAGGGGTTTCACTGTGATATTTCTGTACATGCATATAATGTATTTTGATCAAATTCACCCCCTTATTACTCTTTCTTGTCCTCCCTCCCCACCTTTTAAACACTTTTAATGCATTTCATTATTCTGTTTTCATTCATGCGTATAAGGTACATTGATATTCACATCCTCTTCACCCTCTCCTTTTGCCCTCCCACCTCCTATTGGTCCTCACTCTCAAAAAGACCCTGTTTTCTACTCATCATTCATTGGGAAGACAGTCTCTTGGGGTCAAATGAATTGAATTAGGCCCATTTATCCTGAATATTATGGTCTGTCATGTTTCAGAAAGTTTAGGAAAATCTTGCCTAATGGCCATATCTTAGCACTCCTTGTTGTTCCCCCTCAAAACTGGATCTGTAATTTCTTTTCCACTCTTGCTGGCTTTGTCACCAAAAAGATGAAAGATAAGGCTTTATTTTCTTCATCATTAAATGCTAGCATTTAGGGTGATGGAGCTATCAGCACCCCAAAATAAATAATATGGAATGGGGTTTCAGCCTCCTCTAAGGTATGCTTTCTCTGTAGTGTCATCATTTTAAAAGCTGCCAGTTCCCAAAGTAACCTTTTCAGTCATAAGTACCAAAATATGCTACAAAGCTAACTGTGGTCTTTTGGTTCCATGATGTCCCAATGATGAATCAGTCTTCTGCTTTTTGTGGTCTCTGTGCCCCTTAAATGGGTTCTGGGATCCCATCTACCACCTTTCCCTTAATTTAGCACAGCAGGGAATAATGTGCTAGTGAGGTTCAAACAGAAAAGTGATTTTGAAATAGCCCATTGTTTTTAATTTTCTTTGCCATTGTCTTTCATTGTTTGGCTAAACATGAATGGTTCTTGGTTTCAATGGGGTTTTTCTCCCCTACATTTTATGAAAGAAAAAAGAGATCACAGTAACATTTTTATATTTACTTGTTTATTCATTATTGTAAAAGTGCCTTGTTTCTATGACCTACTTTATGTTGTTGAATAAGATAAGTAAATCAGCCCTTGACTTGTAGACCTTATAAAACCAGGTTCTCAAAACATGTAATGTCTTACTCATAGTATTAAGCTGTTTAAGAGTCCTACCTTAATTGAGCATTACATAGACTTCAGTAAACTTATATCTTTGTAAATTTGAGACAAAATGCTTAGCTCTAATAAACATAATTTTACCCTAGTGAATTAAATAGTTATTGCAGCTTTCTAAAGTAAATTCAGACAGCATGGTAGAACACTATATTAATAAAAATCAGTGTAAAACCTCCTTACTTAAGTGTGGTCCGTGGGCAAGTGGCATATGCATTACCTCTGAGCTTGTTACAAATGTAGACTCCCGATCCCACCCCTCTTCCTACTGAATCAGACCATGCATTTTTGAATAGAAGTTCCAGGTTATTAGTGTGCAGGTGAGGTTTGAATAGTTCATTATAAATTACATTTCCCCTTGATCAAATATGGATGATGTGTGTGGGCTGAAAATTATACAAGATCTGTGGGATGTTAGAAATACAGGAAAATAAGACAAAGAAAAATACCAACTATATATTGCACAAAATATTGTGTAATAAATCATATTTAGGGAAATTGAACATGGAAAGCATTCTGATATATGTAACATGGGGTAGTGGACAGAGAGCCAAGAATTTATCAGCAATAGATCATAGTGGTCACTGTTCCATCAATAGTTTGATTCGTCAGAGATTTCCTTAAAAGCAGAGCATAGCTGAGGCTTGTGTACCTCTTATGCAGTTAGTGACACTATTTCCTACAAAGATAAAGATAAACTTGAGAACGTTCAGAGATGGATGAAGGCTTGATTGTGGCATAGAAGGAACTGATTTATGAGGAGAGGGAAAATAATTAAATGGGCAGCACTATGCTATAAAAAGAGGCTATGGAGACATGGATATTTATCTAATGTTTCTCCAGTGCTATCACCTGTGGTATCTATGTGAAAGCTGCAGAGCTGTAAGGATGCTGAGAAATTGGTTACACAGCAAAGCAATATCAACTTGAATTATGCAATTAAATTAGGAGCAATATCAGAGATTAAGTTTCAGAAAATTTTTCCTGGTGCATAAGAAAAGACCTTGAGCAGGATGGAATGACTTTATCCCCAAGAATTTTTGAAAGCTCTGTGGGTAAAGAATGAAAAACAATTTATTAAGTTGTCTAGTTATCTCCCTAGGGAAATAATTGGAACCTCATTTCTTGAAACTTCTAAAGTTAAGATGGAGAAGAAATGCCACACTTCTGTCAGAGACCTGGTAATTGATAAATGACATTTTTCTTTTGCAACATTATCGATTATTACTGATGGTACCATATGTAGGTAAATTTTTCACCAGGTTAGTATCTTATTTAAATAAAAATGCTATCTTCTATTAAAAAAAACATCTAGAGATGAGTGTCACTCATCTTCCCTCCATGGTGTCTGCCTCAATAGTACCCAGCAGCATTTCATTTTTCTTCACCCTGAAATAAAGAGATGCACTTTACTACATGGCAGAAGTAGATTTTCTTCTGTCATTCACTTCATTCAGAAGCTAAAATGACAAGCCCAAGATGCTCCTCGCCTTTTGGAGCTATTTGTCACATGGATGCAGAAGCTCTGAAAGTCTGAAATCATCCCATGCCACAGAGAGCATCATGATTCTTTGTATCAGGAAGAAACTCCAGCTCATTTTAACAAGGAGTGATTGTCCAAGTGAACCACACTTCCTTCTCTGTCCTCCCATGGACTAAACACCATCTAAACAGGGAAGTATAGAGACCCAATTCCTTGGTTCAGAACAACTAGCAAGCCACAATAAAAATTATTTAATATTCTAATTCATCGGAAGGCTAACACCTTCCAATTCACTTTCATATCATCTAGGAGATCTGGATAAATGTAGGTGCTGCCAAAATAATATAAAAAGAATAAGAAATATCAAAATGTTGACTGGAGATATTTGATGTATGGGTATGTGGAAAGATTTTCCAAACCTAAGTATTAAGTCACATTAATGAAGTTACTTCAGGTGTTTCATCAATGAACTGTTTTTTGTTGATGGTATTTTTAAATGAATGTTTGATTTTGTTATATATGAGTCAATGTACCTACTTTGGTTTAAAAAAATTCTCTTTGCCCTTAGCTAAAACTTTTTATTCCTTGCCTTTTTGAATGAGATCTGGGAGGGGAAATTTAAAAAGTTAGGATTACCTTCTGCTATTGGGTCCATAATACAGTAAACTCTTATGTATCCTAGATTGGATCGGGCATGTTCGGGGTGGTATGGCAGTAGACCCTATGCATACTATTTGTGAAAATGATTCTAAAAAATTTCCAGCATCTTGCACATGTGAATAACAGCTGTCTTCAAGGTGAAAACTAATTGGAAAGAAAAAATAAAATTGATAAGTTGTAATGTTACTTATTATTTTGCTTCCCGACTGCTAAACCTACCAAAGAGGTGGGAGGAAAAGTCTTTTTTCTTTCTAAATCATTCTACTAGTGTCATATTGATTTTCTTTCAGGTACACCCTGTGGCCTCAGATGATCACATATTTTCTTACATTACTCATGTTGATATAGCACCTTAACTCATGGGTTGACACATAATATTGTGCTGCAATTGGCACTGCTCACCATTGACATTTCCTGGTGGTGGGCAGTACCAAGCATGCAATAGAAGGGGTCAGGCTGTTTCACAACAGAATCTTCATTCTTTGAAAAGCAATCAATGTTCACCCTAAATGGTATCATAAGCCACAGGAGTGTTGCTTAAAATTATTGCTAACTCTTACAACAGTGTCTTTTGTGTGTTTGCTGATACAGAAAAATATTCCTCATCTGGGTATCAGAATGTTCTAGTGTTATACTATTTGTAGGAAAAATTGTGTTAGAAAGTGTTTGCAAGAATACCTGGTGATCTTCCCCTCATATGCCGTTGCTGTTGCTCTTTCTTTCTTACCTTCGGATTCTCCTCTCATCTCTCTTCCCTCTGTTTCAGCTAGCTGTGCGGTGGTTGGAACACAACTGCCATTACCAGTACATGGATGAGCTCCTGCAATACATCCGCTTTGGCCTAATGGATGTGGATACGCTCCATACGGTTGCCCTGTCCCACCCCCTCGTCCAAGCAAGTGAGACTGCAACAGCCCTTGTCAACGAGGCCCTGGAATACCATCAGAGCATCTATGCACAGCCTGTCTGGCAGACCTGCAGGACCAAACCACGTTTCCAGTCAGACACTCTATATATCATTGGTGGGAAAAAGCGTGAGGTCTGTAAAGTCAGAGAACTTCGTTACTTCAATCCCGTTGATCAGGAAAATGCTCTCATAGCTGCCATTGCCAACTGGAGTGAGTTGGCTCCCATGCCCGTGGGAAGGAGCCACCACTGTGTGGCTGTCATGGGGGACTTCCTGTTTGTAGCAGGAGGGGAAGTAGAGCATGCTAGTGGGAGGACATGTGCAGTGAGGACTGCCTGTCGCTATGACCCTCGCAGTAACTCCTGGGCAGAGATCGCTCCCATGAAAAACTGCCGGGAGCATTTTGTGCTGGGCGCCATGGATGAATACCTCTATGCAGTTGGGGGCAGAAATGAGCTGCGCCAGGTGCTGCCTACAGTTGAACGATACTGCCCCAAGAAGAATAAATGGACTTTTGTGCAGTCCTTTGACCGATCCCTTTCATGTCATGCTGGATATGTGGCTGATGGTCTTCTTTGGATATCAGGTAGAACATGCCTCATATATTCAATTTATTGAAAAACCTTTCACTGTGGCATAAATTTAAAAGTCAAGCTTTGGTAGTGTGGCCATGTGTAATTGAACGATTGTGTCAAGGATGCTATTTTAGCTAATTAACCATCATTTATTGAGCACCTATTCTATAGAGAACACAGTACTTGAAACTAATTGACCTTTCTGACTTTCTGAGTGATTAGTGATGTTAAAAATTCAAGATGGAAGTTAACGACCCATCACACCTGTTTTTCTACCAAACCTTCTATTGCTCACATGACCAGTTTTGATTATTCTTGATTATATTGTATAGTTTGTGGTTCATCTAGCTCTTTTGTTGTTCTTTTACTCTTGGCTGCCTGACTAGGAGTCTTTTCTTCAAAGATAAGATCTCAGTAAATCCATTTTTCTGGGTATATCAATATATATATATATATCAGGTATTAGCTGTACTGTGCACTGAAGGAAGGGATTAAAGTTACCAAAACAAAGTTTTGGTATTATCTATGAATGGTAGTTATTTGTGGCATCATAATCCTTTATTCCTCTTTACTCTCCCATCCTTACTGATCATTTGGGGATATGGTTTGAGCTCTACTTTAGTTTTTCTCTTTTTATTGTTGTGCTGGGTGAGGGTACATTGTGGCATTTACAAAAGTTCTTACAGTATATCAAATATATCATAGTTGGATTCACCTCCTCCATCTTGCTTATGGAAAAAGTATAGAGACTAGTATAATGAACTCTGTGTACTCATAACCCAGCTTTAACAGTTGCTAATCTTGCTCCATACATACACACATAATCCTCCATACTCCTCCCAGCTGCCTTTTTTGCTCGTACAGAAAGAATCTCGGAGGCATATGTTACCAATATCACAATATCAACCCGTCTTTTCTGTTGTATTACGGAGAAAGACCTGGACTGTCCTTCTATGAAAGGTTTGCCTCTGAAGGAAGAGAGTTGCTTCTTATCTCAGTTACCCATTTTGTAACCCAAATAGAACTTGTATTTCTATGTCGTCAAGGACACAGAGAAGTAGAATGATCAGTAACTTAAATAGTAATGGTAACTCTGATGTTTGTACTTGGAAGAAATAATCACTTTTAGGAAGTGAAGGTTTCTTGGCTTTCCTTAGTAATTATCTGCAGTTTTTAAACATCTATTTTAACAAAATTCTCCCTTGCATTAAATTAAATTTGTTTGGACTCTGCTCATTCTTCATTCTGCTTTCCCCAATAACCAGGGCAACAGTCACAGTCTCAGCTTCTCTGGATGATGCCTCAGTTATTGGCAAGTCACTCATCTTCATCGATGCAACCTAGTTCACATCAGGGTTTACTCACTCAAGAAATTAATGAATGAAGTTAAGTCTAGAGGTAATAAGCAGGATAAATGAGGAGAACCCAACAATTACCCATCCTATATATGAAATAAGTATTTGAGATGTGTTTGTATGTTAGTGTATGTAGATATATTTAAATAAAAACCTTATTTAGTAATTTTTTCCTTTTTCTTCAATTATGTATTTCAACTCTTAAGAACAAAATACCAGTACTATATGTTGTTGGTTTTGCTGAATAAACTTTAAACTGGCTGCAACTAAGTCTTTGCTAATAGAAAGAACAGATCAGTGCTTCCTTGGACAACAAAACAATGATGGATTTATGAAATCAATGCAATTTATGTTTTCTCTTAATTTACATTTCTTCCATTGACTCATTTGGTTTCACATATTGTTAATGTACTGTATTCCTAAATTTTACACTGTGCTTTCTAAATTTTGTATGAATTTCTCATAACTATTTTAATAAATATTCCTGTTTGGGGCTGTAAAACTAGCTTTTTGAAAAATGCTGGAGTTTCCCTTATATAGCCTTAAAGATATGATTACTTAATTCTTTTCAGTGAGGCTTAAGGAAGCACAGAGCTCATTTTAGACTGGCTAAATCTATCATCCTGGTATCAAGTTGACTTCCCTTTCAATATGGACTGAAATGTTTCCTTTTCCATTTTATTAAATCTATCAACTTATTATATACCTTACTGTTATCTCATTTTGTTTTTCTCCTACTGTGAATGAAATGCATTTTTTTTGTCTTTCTTTTGCACTAATGTATGCTGCCTGTGTTAACCATACTTAATGAAAATAATCACAATTTTCTCAGGTTTGTTTCTCCCTACTGTGTACTTGAGATGAGAAACTCACTTTCCTGTGTACAGTACAATACCTTTAATTGGAAAGAAGAGGAAATCACCAGTGACATTTCTAATACCTTCAGTCATCTGCCTCTTTCCTCAGGCCCAGCTTATAATAAATCAATTGTGAATCTAACCATCAGTGGGAGGGGTAACCACATCTACTAATGGGCCCCTTAAAATAACACAGGTATATTTCACCCTTCCTATCACTGATTTAGAAATGTTAACCTGGTCTATTGTAGCAGATGAAAGTGTTTGAGGCTATTTTTTAATCTGTGACCTAATAATCAAGAATTTCCAATTTAATTGATGGGGGATGGAGTCATTGCATCCTTCTGGTATTTTGCAGGCTTTGCCTGAGGTAGAGGCTGTATGGATTATAGAATGTGGATTTTAGAGGCTTAGTTCTGTTCCATAGAACACAAAATGAATGTTTCTTTAGAGACTTAATATTTCCAGCATGCTTACTCCCTCCTTGTCCCCCTCACCTTTTGCTGTCCATTTGGGGGCCAAGACATTTTAAAAACTGTCCATAGTTTTTTAAAGTGTGACAAAGAGGAATTCAGAGAATCAGGCTGCATGAGTGTGCCCATTAGAATTTAATTTAAGATGTTAGAGACAGTCACATTTTGCAGGCTCCTGTAGCATTTCACATTGTGACCCAGTTCACACATGCTCCATACAATTTTGATTTAAAATTCACAGTACTAAAGTAAAAGAAGCATTAAATATCCTGCAGCTGTGTTTTAAAATACACGTTCTCTGTTTAAGGTATAGTTTGTGTACTACTAAAAAGATCTTTTTTGTGCATGTGAGGGAAAATTAGTCCCGAGCTCATCTTGTAGAACAGCTTATCTTTTAATTTTTTATCAGACTGCAACAAGATAATGAGGTGCTACCCACAAAATTAGTGCCTTAAACTATGAAAACAAGACAAATGCTATTGTATTTAAACAAAAGCAGTATTTAATGCTTTCTTGAGTTTCTTTGTAGATGCTACATTCTTATAAACTATAGTGCTGGGTCATAGATAAATAAAAATTAATTCAGCAAATATACTTCCTGCTTTCTAGGAGCTGACAATCAAAAAGGTTTTTTTTTAAAGGTATTTCATTAATGAAAGAACATTTGTTAAAGCTTCTTTAATTCCCTAGAAGCTATGTTTACTTTCATCTTGATTCAATTTATATGAAGTTTGCATTGCCCCCATTTTAAATACTTTTAATTTATTCAAGTCTACTAAAGAACCTTTGGTTTTTCTTCTATCTGTTAAAATTAGAACAATGTAAAATGTCATTAACACTGTTAAAATACCAGAGTTTTGGTTTTTCTCTGTGTAGATATTGTTTTAATTGAATCTAAAATACTATATACAAAATATTGTGAATTAACAGCAGGCATGTTAGAGGTTGGGTGGTGGTACCCCAAGAGGCTGGAGCATGATCACACACACAAGTGAAACTTGCCTCACTTTTTACCAATCATGAGAGCTGAGCCAAGTTCCTTCTCTCTTAAGTCATTTTCCAGGCTTGTGCTGAAGCAACAAAGTATACTACATAATTATAATCTAGCATATGATGGTGTGATGGTAGATGTCTTTACAAGATATAGAAGTAGTGCAAGGCAGGGAATAATTATTGCAGGGGATATGAAAGGTAGCATCTCTGGCCTAACTTGGCCTCAGCTCCATTGGTTATTTTCTATGCTTCCATTTACCCCTCCCTGTCCTTCCACTTGAAATTTGTAGTCCAGTCACTTCAGTAGTTTTTTTGCCTTGTAGAAAATAAATGTTAGACACATCTCATAATCTACCTTGTACCTGTATAGTTCTCCCTCAGTATCCACAGGGGATTATAATTCAAACACTCAGGAGGATGAAGCTGGAGGATTGTGAGATTGAGGTCAGTCTGGGCTACATAGTGAGACCCTGTCTCAATGAAACAAAACAAAACAAAGTCCTAACTATTGACTTCAGAATTCCTCTCCTGGAGAGAACTGCCTTTGTTTAGACCATCTCTTTGTGTCTGTCTAGAAATAGAAGGTGAGTAGATTGTTCTACCTAAGAATATGGGAAGTATGTCATTTTCTTTGTTCTGAGAAGAGAAAAGATGGTTTTTGCTGTGTCATGGACATAGGGAATAGCTGAGGAATCTGGTCAAAAGAGAAGGGAGCCAAAGATCTAGCAAGAATATAGAGGTGAACTTGAGAACTTCACCTTGCTAGTAATGTGCAGACATCTCTGGAGGCAGGACTCTGACTTCCAACAGGATGAGGAATGGAAGTGAGAGTGAATTTTATTGAGATTTTTAAAGGGCAGTTCCCCTAGTTGACATTGGCACTGTGGTAGATTTTCTTATGTCAATTATTTAAAACAACACATGGTACATACTTTACCTATTTCTGGATTATAAATTTGTACTTGTTTACTCAGGTGACATAAATATAATTTACATTTTCAAGTGCAGCAGTTCTTTATAGATATTTTATAAACCTGAGACTTTCTGTGCAGGTTTTGAGTGTATTAATTACCCATCCTTTTGTGTGAGTTCCTCAAGTATGACAGAAATAATAAGGATGCTAGTTTTAATTTAATGCATGGATTAAGTATGCTTCTATTCAAGAGGCTAATTTAGAACAAAGATTCTTGGCTTTGTTTTTACAGCATTTTAAACTTCCTGAAAATATGGATGATTTTAAATGTTCCTGTTAAAATATATAGCAGAAAGTTTATGTTTTACATTTATTGTAGGTATTCCTATGGTATCACTTTTTTCATGGGTTAATAGTGAG